TATTATTAGACAAAGAAGTGGTAATAAAAGGACTTGACGGTGAATTCTTTACATCATCATTATTATTTTTATTATATTTGTAATTATCATTATCATTATCATTATGAATTTTATTATTAATCTCGAGGTCTCTTTTCTTCCTCTTAATATACATAGCTCGCCACACTAAGTTCTCTAGTCTTTCACCGTCCGCCATGGTATCCTTTGCTTTCGTATAAAGTCGCCAAACGGACACCGCCAGCGGGTCTTTTTCTGCCACACTCTCAAATTTTTCTTTGTCGCCTAGTAGTGAAGGGCTTGGGTTTTGAATGTTTCGTGTTTTTGATTTAAATGGATATGATTTTTGGAGGACTAGATTGTGTGGCAGCAGTAAGGAGTTTAGGTATGTTGATTCACTTAACATTTTTTTTTTCTCTTTATTTCTATTGTGGGAAAATAATGTGGGGTTTGTACGTTTACAAAGCTTCTCTTTTTTACTACTGAGAAATGGATGGTTATATTGCGAAGCTAATGCGTCAGAGCGTTAGAATAAAATATTTGGCTGGCTTTCCTTGAAATAAATTTTTTAAGAATTTATGTGCGGATATGTGTGAGGTTAGGATTAATTTTTTTTCGTTTATCGGTTCTTGCTTTATTGTTCGCCCTCTTTGTGCTGTTGCTATGTGAGAATATGTGCATGCAAAATGTGAAAAGGGGTGATATTGAATAAATAGTTACTACGTGTTTTTTTTTGTTTTTTGTTAGTATATATATATATATATACTACTATATATGTATGGTGCGTGTGTATATATATATAATATCAATTGAAGAGGGACCATGGAATAACAGAATAAGAAGAAAGTCTTTAAGAAATATATAATTTTTATATTTATTAATAAAATTGTTGATAATATAATTTCTTTGCAACTATTCGATAAAGAGGGAGAAGAACAGCGAGGATATTATAATAATAAAAATTTTGCGCGAGTGAGATTATATATTTATATTGTGCGTTCTGTGTCTGTGTAAAAAAATAAATCTATTAAAACCTTATAATGGTCACGTGATAATAAGAGGAATTAAAAATCTACCTTCTAATAGGAAGGAAAATTTTTGAAACTCATATATAATAAAAATATTTATATAATACATTGTTATTTATTATTATAATAATAACGATAAATGCTATTTTAAAAAATTGCCTAAAGTTTAAAACAGCTTAGTTACAAAAATCTGGATCGACAAACCATTTCATTGTTTGGGCCAATCATATCACAAATTTTTTTCAGGGGATTGTAAACTCTAAACCTAAATCTTGATACTGAATTCAATAAGAATCAAGGATCGAGGAAAAGAACGTTTCAAGATGACAATTATGCTGATTGAATCAACGAAAGGAGGAAATTTATTGCGAAGACACATATGGCAAAAATATTAACATAGCATAAATATTCGTACTTGAAAAATTCAAGATTCTAATTGATAATTTCGACAAATTAAGCACGAGAATTAAAGTAATTAAATATAAGAGGGAGAGAGAAAAAGTAATTCTTTTAATCTAATATATTCCAATTGATGTAAGTAGTATCTTATTAAAGATTATTTTCCCATTGTACGTTCGATCCTATTGTATTTATGTTATGTTTGTGTGTTGTGTAACAAAAGACAATGCCAAATATATAAGCCAATTATCGAAGGGCATGGGAGAAAACTTGCAATAATAATTATATATTGATTATATAATCTGTATGTGGCATGAGATATAAAACCGTCCACCTAGCTACAATCTAGTAATAGAAATTAATTTAATTAATTAATTATTATAGATATATAGATATCTTTTTTAATTTCTTTACTTCAAGTTTATTTCTAATATCTGACTACTAATAATTACATCGTTAACCTAATTTTAGTCATAACGAAGTTGATTAGTTATACTAGTTTACTTAGAATCATATCTTTTATATGAAATGTTACATAAGATGTTTTTCTGCATTAATATTTAATGAAGATGCTATTGATGTGGATGCATAGCATAACATTGTAAAGATCAAATCAATCAATGTGTACAATCGTAAATATTTTTTACCATAATTTGATTACATAATTTGCTACACGTTCAAAAATATTGGCGGAGTATATGTATATATGTGTGTATGTATATACTTATATATACTTTATTTAATTGACATTATATTAAACAATTAATTTATATCTGTGAGTAATTCGTATCATCTTTAAGTTCAGGTTTTTTTCTTGAAAACGATAAACCAACTTTTATTTGTACATGGAAAGAGTCTTCATTTGCTAAGGGCGTAGTTGCTCTTTTTTCTTTTGTTATACACAGGTAACTTGATACTAATAATAATTCATTTTCGTGCTTATTTTGTTTATTTTGTTAATTGCATACAAGCAAGAAGATGAAATTTATTTGTCTCTAGAATTTAAGAATAAAGTATCGCTATTGCTAAATTGGTTAGAACGAAATGATCTTCTAGATTTTCATGCAGAACATTTACTATCGGAAGAAAGCGGCGAAAATAAAAATAATCTTTTAAATATATGCATGTTTTATAGTTACATCGCTCCCACCCTTGATGTTGCCTTAAAATTTCGTACTCCCTTCTTTCATTTGTATATTCCGATTGATTGTCAGCCTATCACATTCCAACCATTTAAATGTACATTATCAATTCGATCAATCATTGATGTATTTCGTTCGTCAATAATTGCCTTATTGATCAATGTAATCCAGAATAGTCATCATTTAAAGGATATCATATAACAGGAAGACCTTAGAAAAAAATTAATAGATTTAATTTTTTCCTTTTACAATTATCCGAAAGTATCCTTGTTTTTCTTTCTACTTGAAAGACGCAATATGCGCCTTCCATTTTTCACCTATTAGGGTCGGAAATTATTAAAAGACTTTACACACGTAACCTTTCCACTTTTCTTAAATAACTAGCAAAATTATCATCTACATCATCTTGTATCGATGGAGTCTCGATTACCTATATTATTTCCGAAATGAAGATGTCAAAATTAGGTTTTTTATAGTAACCGAAACTTTCGAGTTTAATTATATCCAAATGAATATAAACATATAAACTCTAAAAACTAATATAGATTATTTAAGCTTTTGGTAAAGCTAAATAATCTAGCCAAATTAAAGATTAAGGCAAACCCAAATGAATTTAGCCTTCCCCCATGTATTATCACATCCTCATCATTAAATCGCCATCAAATCGGGATTCTAATTAGTCATTTCTAAATCGAGCCCTGATTGTATTGTACTACGATTGTATTTCTATTACATTACGTACCAACATATTACCCCTACTTAGCCCTTATTTCCATATTCTATGACTTGCTTGACGAACGGCTAATAACAATGTACAAAGTTTAATTATTTACACAGTCAAATTTAAGGTTTCTGCCATACTTTTATATTTTTCTAGTTTTATTATTATAAATGCAACAGTATAGTTGGGGGGTGGAGTAATCATTATTGTTAAAGATGAAAAAGACATTGTCTGTCCGTCCGTGATTTACGAGTGCTTTTTGCAGAATCCTCATCTCACAAAAGCAAGCTCAGCCCAAAAAATGAGAGGAAAAACAAAGACGCATTATTACGTAATTGTGCCACTCACACGATTTAATACTGCACATGATACCTTCCCTAAATCGAAAATAGAAAACCACGAAATAAACATATGCATTTTGGAGTTGTGTTTTACGAAAATAAAGGGAGTGACACTTATATATACAGATCACGTGTGTACTGACAAATTTATTTTTGGAAACATTTTTATAAGAGCTGGTTTTTCTCAATTGAAAAAAATTCCATTAAATTCTGTTTTGTAATAGAACCTGATTTTCTTGTAACGATCAAAAATTAGTTATATTTATGAAATGAATGTGTTAGGACAAAGGATAATACAATACGAGTTGTTGATTGTATTTTTCTTCAATTGCATGAAAGAAAACTTTAAGAAATCACAAATAAAAATCTAATTCATCAAATTCGATCCTTTAAAAACCTATTGGTCAAAATATCCTCTCCAATTTTGACGCACAGTCTTTGTAAAAGTTTGCACGTGATTGTAAATTTATTTAGCGACAAAATTATCATATTCAATAAGAAATAAGCATTTAATATATAAAATTTATCGTTTGTGAAAGTTTAACTGTTGATCAATTCTATTCACAGTTGTACCTCCCCTGATTAAAGTATCACTCGTATAAAGTACTCTTTATAGGCACAAATATAAGATATCTGAGGTCCTTTAGTCAGCAGTTTACTGTAATTGATTGGATGGTTATTCGTAAATATAGCGAGTAAGCAAACAATGCCTTGCATAAAATCCCGAAAAACATACATCGGAGCTTTTCGAAAAATACAATAGACACTTATTTGATTATTATGCAGGCGAGGAATATATGTATGTATGTGTGCATACATGCGCACTCCGTACATATCACAATGCGAGGGTGCCTTGTGACCGCGAGACAAATAATCGCCTTTTTATGGTGTCAATTTTCATAAGTCTTTTTCATATGGTTGATGCAACGGTAAAAGGCGTGACCTGACACTGTGTGTTGTTAAAGAGGATTTCGACAATCTCTTGGTTTGATTATATAATTGACGAGTGTTATCAAATAAATATATTTCTCACGAAAAAAAAACTTGATCTAAAAGCCTACATATACATACACATTTATAATAGTGTTTGTTTGTTATCTTGCATTAATATATATTGAGATTTTTATGCACTTTTACATTTATTAATCCATTAAAATAATTGTTAATTCGATCCCTCAATACAGATAGAAAGAGACCTTAATACATGTACACAGTTCTACAGGATTCTTGTGCGGACGAATCAAATTTTATCAGCAATGAAAAAATACATGTTTTTCCTTATATTTTTTCAGTTTTTATTTTTTTTTCTTCTGAGACAACTTTAACATGATATCATAATAAATGTAAGATAACAAGAAAACTTTGATTAAAAACTCGCGTTTTTTAATTTCCGTGAAAAAACATGCGCATTTATTAATGATACACCGGAAAAATACGCAGATTCCATAGTGATTTTCCAGTTATGATAATATACACATACACATACACATACACGAACGCAAATATAATTTTCTCGACACAACACAAAACTACGAATAGCGACTACTTTGATCAATTAGAAATTATCATTATTATTAATCCTTGAACATCTACCTCTAATTATATTTAAAAAATTTAAAAAATTGTTTTTGTTGGTTGAATATCTAAAATTATAGAAGATACATGTGCATGTCAAATCCACTATTTGAACAAATCACAAAGGATCGTAATAAAGTTCAATAATTGAATTTCTTAAAAAAGCAGCAATCAATGGTTGAAATGATCACAAGAAAATT